AAGCACTAACAAAATGCTACTCTGTTGTAACCCTTGCTGAAATTCAGGGTGAGATGCCAGCTGAAAGCAGGCATGTTTAATAAAGTAACAGATATTCTGAGTTATTTAGAATACACTTGCTAATCCTTTTGGCTGGAATCCTGTTTTCAAGGTATGCAGTCTATGCCAGTCTCTGAGCTGCGTACAGAACGTGTTGGCGTACACGGATTGAGTTGCCGTGCAAGGCTGGCCGTGTGCTTGGGAACACATCTGCTGTTTCTAAATGTGAGGCCATGCCAACATAGTCCCATGCTTAGCTTGGAAAAGCCAGCCTCTTGCATCTGCTTGTGGTCGAATTAGTAGTTTTCCAACACTTGACACTTACTTAGCACTTGGCATATTTAGAACGCTCTACTACTTGACCAAAATAGGTCTTTAAGCTTCCAGTTTGAAACTAAAGTGATTTTCCCGCTGCTTTGGAAAATACAGACTTGCTGCTCTTGTGCAAGAACTTTCCACCCTGCAGGGAAGAAGAAATCCTAGGGAAGGCCGTCTCCTTTGCAAGCTAGTGTCTGGCTGCTGACCTCCAGAAGTGTTTTGGTCAAGCGTTGGTCCTGGGAAGCTTCAGGTGCCTTCAGCTTATTGATTGCAGAGCAGGCACTTCAGGAGCAAAACTTGTGAAGAAACGAAACGGGTCATTCGGGTGAGCTTCTCTGAAAGCTTGTGTTGAGTGGCTGGTGATCCTGAAGGAGAGGCACGTACCAGTTCGCAGGCTAGGACACGTGTGGTTGTGAAGCTACGCTCGGAGATGCTGTAGTCGTGTATGCAAACGAAAATACAGCACGGGCCTCGAACTGGAGGGCTTGTTGCCACGTTTGTTTGGGAGGCAGTAGGTGACTGGTTTGCTTCAAAAGCAAAGGGGTTCTAGGGATTTAACTCAGCTGAGGAGGTGGCTCCTTCCTGTGTAAGTTCAGATGATGATGGGACAAGCGACCCTTCCTTTGTTCAGCAGATGTCTCCCTCTCAGGCCAAGATGATGTTTGTGCGGTATGTAAGCAGGGGAGAGCGAGTGGTGTCAACGCGTTACTGTACGTGGACTCTCTATTAGCCGGCACGTGTTTTTCCAGAGACCGTGGCAGCAGACGGTGTACTCCATCTGATTTCCGTTCTTGTTTCTAATTTATTTTGAGAAATTTTTTTTTCTCTTAACAGGCTTGGACATTTTTAATCTGGATAGCTTTAAAAGGGGAAAATATATTAATAAAGAGTAAAAATAATTAATATATATATGCTATAAATAAATATTTTGGTGTCATATTTGTGTTACATGCTTGTATTAAATTTATTTTCCTATCAGGCAAAACTCTAAGTACTCTCCTTACACTGTTGTTAGGATACAGTGCTTTTTAGAGTATGTGAGGATATTTTGAAACGTTTTTTGATGTATTAATCTTTTGGCATCAGGTTAGAATACAAAAATTCTTCAAGAGTGGTTTTTAAAAAAAAAAAAAAAAAGAAGAAGAAAGCACACAAACAACAAAAAAAATCCCAGTGTATGCTATGGTGTTTAGGCTGCATGCCTTCACACTTACCAGTTGTGTTGCAAGAGATTCTTCTGGTTTTATGTGTCCAAAACACCAAAGCACCTCCCTTCCCCCTACCACAGATCTCCTCATTGTTCCAGAAATGTATTTCACTTTTCAGGCCTCAGTTGAAAGGAAGAATGGTCAGGTCTTTTAAAGATGAAAAAATAAAATTGCTATAGGTAGGGATGAATTGAAACAAATAAAATAATGCATTCTTCTCATGCATCTCATTAGAATCTCCTTAAAGTAAGCATGTTGTACAGTATCTCACATTTTATGTGCACATGTGTATATTTACATGTGTGTATAAAGTGTTGGAACAGTGATTTAAGACGGTAATTCATTATCTGGTGTGGAAAGTGTTCTGTTACTTAGGCAGCTCATCTTTGCCTCTCTGCAAAGCCTAAAAGCTTCATCACAAGATGTCAGGGTGCTGTTCTGGTGGGTGCACAGTAGGTACATGTGCCCACTGCATGTACAGCTGTTGGGGAGGATGGGCCTGTGTGGGGAGTATTTCCGATGTGAAAATCTCAGTTTTTCATGATGTGGAGCCTAAGTTAATTATGTCATTTTGTTTAGAAACAGAAGAAGGAAGCTTTTGTCTTAACAGCAGGGACTAACTTCAACATCTTGAGAAATGGCAAAGATCACCACTTTCATCACTATTTCGTTCGTCCCCATTGCAGAGATGGTTGCAAGA